TGCCCATTTTTGGATTGGGTCTTTGAATTTGGGGGCGGCTGATATTTTTAAATTCTTTATATGTTCTAGATAGAAGCCCTCTGTCTGACGGACAGTCACCTAAAATTTTTTCCAAGTTTGTGGGTTATCTTTTTACTCTGCTGGTGATTTCTTTAGATGTGCAGAAACTTTTCAGTGGGATGAGATCCCAGTTGTTGATTCTTTCAAGTGTTTCACTCGCAGTTTGGTATTTGTTCATGAACTCTCTGCCTACCCCTATGTCTTCAAGGTTTTTACCTACTTTTTCATCCAATAGATTTAGTGTTTCTGGTTTAGTATTGAGATCTGTGAACCATTTTGACCTGAGTTTGGTGCATGGTGGTAGACTTGGGTCGATTTTCAGTCTTTGGCAGGTAGCAAGCCAATTTTTCCAGCACCATTGATTAGAGAGGCCAACTTTCTTCCAGTGAGTTTGTTTGGCCCCTTTATCACAGATGAGGTGGCTGAGTGTGTTTGTGTTTGTGGTTGTTTCTTTCAGTCTGTTTCATTGATCCTCAGGTTTGTTTTTGAGCCAGTACCAGGTTGATTTTATGACAGTAGCTTTGTAGTATAATTTCAGGTCAACGATTGTGATTGCACTTGACTTGCCATTGTTGCCCAGGGTTGCTTTTGCTATTCTGGGTCTCTTCTGGTTCCAGATGAATTTAAGGCATGTTTTCTCAAGATCTGTGAGGTATGCTAATGGTAGTTGAATGGGAATTGCATTGAATCTGTGCAACAATTTTGAGAGTATGGCCATTTTCACAGTGTCGGTTCTTGCAATCCATGAGCAAGGAATATTTTTCCATTTACTGAAATCCTCTTCGATCTCCTTTTTCAGAGTACTGTCATTTTCTTTGAAGAGATCTCTTACCTCTTTTGTTAGATTGATTCCTAAATATTTCAATTTCTTGGACGTTATTGTGAAAGGTATGTTTTCCTCAATTTGTCTCTCAGTCTGTTTGTTGTTTGAGTATGGGAATGCTATCAATTTTTGGGTGTTGACTTTGTATCCAGCTACACTGCTGAATTTGTTCATTAATTGAAGAAGTCTTTTTGTGGAGCTTTTGGGGTCTTCCATGTAAAGTATCATGTCTTCTACAAATAGTGGTAGTTTTACTTCCTCCTTTTCTATTCTTATTCCTTTTATTTCTCTCTCCTGTATTATTGATCTCGGTTGGAAGTTGTTTTCTTTCAGGGCCTGAAATACTTCACTGAAAGCTCTTCTTGACCTGGTGATCTGTGTTGAGATGTCTTCCATGATTCTTGTGGGCTTTCCTTCATAGGTGATCTGTTTCTTTTCTCTAACAGCTGTTAATAACCTGGTCTTTTGCTCAATTTCTGGGATCTTTATTATTATATTTCTAGGTAAATTTTTTTTTGTTATGGGTAGTTGGGGTTGTATGTGCCTCACTCATGTGTACATAGTTTTTGTCCCACGCTTGAGAAATTTTCTGCTATTACTGCAACAAATAGTCTTTTTATGTCATTCATGTAACCACCTGCTCTGACAACCTGACAACCTCCAGCTATCAGGCTTATATTTTTTTTTTGTTGTTTTTTTTTTTTTGCCTCATCTTGCAGTTGCTGAGTTGTTATTTGCTTTTACTTTGTTATTTTTAAGAGCTCTTTAGATTCATAATCACCAGTTGCAATGCTGTCTTCAAGGTCTGAAAGTCTGCCTTCCATTTCATTCAAGCAGTTCTTCTAGCATTCAGTGGAATTTTTAATTTCCTGAATGTCTCTTTGAATCTACTTCATGCATTCTAATGCTTTCCTATACTGTTCATTCAAGGTTTCCACGATTTTTCTGTGCTCCTCTATTTTTTAATCTATGTCTTCTTTTGATATGCTGAGGAATTCTTTCATTATGGTTTCCCTTTTTTTTTCCCCTGAGCAATTATTTCTGATCTGAATTCCTCTGTAGCCTGATGTAGTTGGTTCTTTACTTCAGTTGTTTCTAAATCACTGGTTTCTAAATCTATCATTTCAAGAAATTTCAGGTGTGTGACTCCATGTTTTTCCATGTTGATGTTTTACGGACTTGTTCTGGGTGGGGAATTTGGCTGAGTTTGCATTTTGCTTCCTCTTTTTGTCATTTTGAAATCCTGCTCAGTGTCCAGGGATTTGGGTTCACTTCGGAGATGGTAGCAAGTGGTGGAAGCAGAGGAGGCAAGTGACCAGAGGGCTTACTGAGTCCAAGAACCCTCCCACGGTGGTGGAGAGGTTGGGTCCAGAGGATCCGGGCCCCTGAGAGCTCACTGAGACTTCCTAAGCCCAAGATCCTTCTGGACAGTGGCAGTGGGGCAAGGCCAGAGGATGCGGGTCCCCAGGCAGCTCAGTAGGATTCGTGCAATGCTGTCTTCAAGTTCTGAAAATCTATCTTCCATTTCATTCAAGCAGTTCTTCTGGCTCACTGAGGCCCCTCCTGTGGTGGGGGCAGGTGGCAGGGCCAGAGGATATGGGAGACTTTTCATCTAAGCATTTCTTCCTGTGCATCTCCCTCTCTGTAACCCTTGTCATTTAGGTGTCTGTCTTGGATGGACTTTCTTTCTGTATCTGTATCACCTTTAGTCTTTCCTCTGATTCTTCCCTTGGTACTGTGCTTCTGGCTTTGCATATGCCTTCTTCTTGTAACACTTTGTGTCTTCCCGTATCATTTCGATCTTTAACTTGTTTGTAAATCTTTTCCTTGAAGTTTCTCTGTCTAAACATTTGTCTGTAGCCACAGCTTTTCTTTCTTGCTTCTCTCTGTGTACACCTTAATTCTTCCTCTTTTACCTCTCTTACTCCCTCTTTTTTTGAGAACCTATGGTTGCTTCTCTGTCTCTGAGTCTCTGTCAGTCTTGCTGTCTCTCTCAAAACTATAATCTTCTGGACTCTCTGCCCAGCCCCATGAGCTCATCCTGAGATTTCCTCAGCATCCCTGCCAAATGCTCAGTGCCTCCTTGATTGGTTCTTTGATGCTCCACTTAACCATCCCAAAGTTGTTCATGGTGCTCAGACAGAATCACTGCATCACTTTGCATCGGTTTCCATTGGCAAAGGTCACACCTGATAGTGAGGCATGGAGAGAATGCTGGGAGAACTCGTGTGATGGCCTCTCCTTTGTTCCCTAATGTTCCTCCCACCTCCACTTATCAGTTCCCTGGAAGATGTGATCAGTGATCAGGGATCTTTCAAATGACGTCCCCATATTTCTCCCGCAGCTCTGAAGAAGGGTCCACATCTCACAATCTCACCTGTGGGAAGGTTTCCACTGTTACACTTGGATCTTAGCTTCCAGTGTAGCCTGAGTTTTCCCACCTGTAGACCCATGAGGAAGGGCAGAGACTTGGACTCTTTATCTCCTTTCAAGCCCCACAAACATGCCCTTCCTCTAGTGTCCTTGTCTCTTGGCTCTACCAAAACCTTCTCAGCCTTAGATTTTATTATTTGCACTAATTCTCCACATCCAGTCTCTAGAACCTCTCCTTTGCTCACCACTGGAACAAAATTTAAACCCTCAAATCTATGAAAATTTCTCCAATCTACTCTCTCTCTGTCCATTCTGAAGGGATTCTAGAAGCTTATGTGAGTGGTCCTGAGGGGGGCTGGAATTATAGAATTCCCAAATTCATCTGGAGAGTCCCACCCAAAGCTGGATCCTCAAACTGCCCTGTTACCTATGAGCTCTGTGTACTTTTTGCCACCACTTACCTTCTTGCTGCTTCTCTTCCCATGCC